TCTAGCTAGCACATTGAACTCAGAACATCGGGCTGTGCATCTGCTCACTAAGCTGACCGAATCTGCTTGGAGCACGGGTGTGGCTTGTCGTCGGCACAGGCTCGCTTCAACGACGACAGTCGCTCTGGGCTGGCGATCCAGAAGAACCTGGGCCATGGCGGACACAAGGGGGTTGGGGACATTTAGGGCTTGTGTTATAGAGTTCGGAAGGGAATAAGGTCTAGATAGGTCAAAGGTTTTAAGGAGCTAAAGTGACCTAGTGTACCAAACGGTTTCGGATTGGTCTAGGTGGATACACGAGAGTAGATGGTTATAGCCAGAATCCTCTAATTTCTGTTTCAAACCACAATTTACAAGATCAGGAGCAGTGGTTTCTGGAATGACTTCAAACTATTAACCTACAGTGTTCGGAAAATTTGACATTGCTATGTCGGAATTGTTCTAGTGGGATGTATGACCATTGGAGTCTAAATATTGGGTAGTTCATGATATTGCTCCTGTCGGTGAGAAGAGCTTCGACAGTTGCTGGTTTTCATGTTAAAGGATCATCGGCACATTTTCGGCCTCTAAACCTTGGTATGCCAACATACCAATGTGTATGCTTCTTAGTCGCTTGAGAACCCAAACACAAGGTCACAACACTCAAAGACTCTTGAAAACCCGAACAGCCAAGCTTGGAAATCTCCAAAGGGTTTGTAAGTATTGGCCTAGCATCAATCCAGGGATTCGGGTGTTTTAGGGTTGTGGCAGTTCAGGTTCATGGGCTCAGGGTGTTCGGGGTTTCACAGTGTAGGGTGTCAGGTTTAAGGGTTTGGGGTTGGGGGTTGAGTGGTGCGCGGTTTTCGGTTTAGGCTTTTCGGAGCTTAACGAACAAGACTGATCATGATCAGCAAATATCTCGGAAACTAAGGCTACAAGATCACTATGCTGGATTTGGAGCAGCACTGCGACTGGTGGGGGTGTTTCCGGGCCTCGGCTTGCAAAAGCCTTCAAGCTCGGCCAGGGCACATCCATGGTTCGGTTTTGGGTGTCTTACTTAAGACTAATCAAGCTAATTTCGGTATATATTGTCTTCAAGAATATAGATACGGGTTTCTTTTGGGTTGTCAACCATCGAGCAGCCGACCTGCCACCATCGGCTTTGTTAGGGTTCTAAACTGGGAGTGGGTCCCAATGCTACAGGTGAGTTAGCTGAACAAATAATGTTTTAAAGCTCGATCTTGCACATAGATCAGATCTACATGCTCTACATACCCTACCTATACCGCAGAAGTCCGGATGCCCAGAAAAAGTGACTCACCAAATGCATTCCAATATTCTGATAAATATTGGCATTGTCCAGGCCCTTAGCAGTGTAACCCTATATATGTATTTTGTACATAGCAGACTATGCTGTTCAGAAACCCTGAGAAGTCCCGACCCCGACCCCAAGGTAGGATTCGGAAGTCATGTGTGGCCCCAGCACTCAAAACATGTTCTGTGAAGTCCGGCAGCAGAGCCGGGCACAAGTTGCACGGCGGGACAAAGGGTTTAGGTTTCGGGCCTCGGGGTTTCAGGGCTGCTTTCGACTGGATATGAAGCTGCTGCAGGACTTGGGGTCATCAGCGCAGTTAAGTTATTTCATCTGGGATTGAGGTGCATTTGGGACCTACTGGTTCGGCTTGCCTGGAACGAAGGATTGCTGGGAAGCTAGAGGTTGCATATGTTCAGGTTGATGATGTTGCTTGGCTTTGCATAGCGACTTGGGGGCTTTAGGCTCCAGGATAGTTTGGTTTGTTTCAGCAGGCGTGAACCCCGAGGACCCAAATATCAGAGAATTCATCCCTATGCTGCAGTTACAAAGTGCACTAAGTCGTTTGGATAGTTACATTGGGAATTAGAATTAATGCTCTAGGCTCGAAACATCCAAGTGCCTTGTAAACCTTATAGACATTGCTTGCTGGGACAGAGACTAGGGGTTGCCCCTTTAGACCTTGGGAATTAAATTAACCCAGAATGAAGTGTGGAAGTACACATTCGAGTGTCGGCTGAATAATGTAAGGAATTATAAAGACAACCCCTAATTGTAGAAAGCCCCAAGCCACAAACCTCGAAACCTTTCCGCCCCAATGGGATTATATGATGCTAAATCCCTAGCATATAGGTCTGCTGATACATAGGCAACATATATATATATATATATATACATATATATATATATATATATGTTCAACAAGCTTCCTGTAACTTCAGAACAAAGCTCCGATAAAGTGAAGTGGTGAATAGCCGAAACCAGACCAATCTATCCCCGTGCCCCCGCGCACACCACTACTTAAGTCTGTGTCTACCCCGGTCAATCCGAACCCCTTCCCTCATAAGCACATATGGGTATCTGTGAAGTATATTTCTATGTCCCCGGCGAAGATTTAGCTGCATTCTCTGTAAAGATTTATACAAGTCCTTTGCAACTTTGCTTCCGAACTGCAAGTCTAAATAAAACCTTAGAGCTCAAAAACCAAGCCATCCAAATGTGTACATCGTATCATTGTTGGAGCATAACGATCAGACCAAGCAACTGCCGAAGCCGATCCACGATGCAATCCTGAGTGAAACGTACCCAGCCCAGGCTATGGGGGATCTCATCAAGTCGCTGCGATCACTGTCTGGCGTCACATCGATCTCTTCAACATGCAATGCCGAGGACAGTGTACCAATAGCTTCAGTCTAAGTGCCTCTGCAGCAGCTTCTCTTATATGAAGGTACCTTATCGATCAAGCAGTTCATGCCGAACATAGCATTCTTGAACTAGTTGACGTAGAGTTCATACCACACATACTTGGAACCTAGTATATGTATCTTGCAGTCGAGAATCCCATTGGCCCGGAGCCTTCAGATGCTTGCAGAAGACCAGGTAGCAGATGAGGGAAGGTAGCTGGGCCTGTCAACAATGTATCGGACATTCTGGGCGTAGGGTTTGCAAGAGTTGCAGGGTGCACTAGGGAGTCTAGCCTTGCATGCTCGGGTTTGCACATGTTGTTTGTGCCACCGCAGATGTCGACATTACGGCAAGAAACATTCCCACTAAGGCACCTCCTGAGCTAAATCCCCGAAGCTTTCGAGCTGTACGTTGTCAGGCAGCAGGCCCTTCACAAGCTCGTAGTCGCTTTTCATCCAATCCACGTCACAAGCCATTTTGGGGCCAGGGAGCTTTGCCTCAGTTGTCGCTTTCAAGCAGCCCCGGAACCAGGATTGCAGCAAACACATGAAAACTGACACAACAGGCTTTACTGCACTGTATAGCTCTAGCTGCCGCATCACCACTGTACCGAAAAAGTTCGGCAATCTTCTCCCCAAATTTCGCAGGGTACTTCCTGAGATTGTGGGTCAGATATAGGGGCATATATGTTGTTAACCGAAAGAGAGAAACGCAAACCTACACTGTGCACAGCTTCGAACTTATACAGGCGGCTAGGACAGCTAGGACACCCAGAGGCAGGAAGCAACAGCGACTTACCAGTGTAGCGAATCTTGCCGACTTTCGCATCGTAGTAATGGTGTGCCAGTTTCGACAATTGAAAAGCTTGGCGATCGGCCACAGACAGGAATCCGCCATGACGAACAATGCCTTCGATGAAGTCAGCATCGTTGCTCCAGGCCACATGCCTTTTGGCAGAAGCCTGCCCGTAGTTCGCCATGTACCAGAAGCCCTTGAATACCTAGGCAAGCAGAATCTATTCCTAGTGCTCTGGGAAGGTAGCACCTCCAAACTCTGCACAACAACACTCGTCTTTATTAATGGAATACAGGTTGCCCGAACTCGGTTCAGAAGCCACTCAAAGCAGGGCATGTCGTCCAGACAAGAACCAGCTGGCTGTTCTAACAGCCAGCGACATCCCTTCATTGACACTACAAGCAACAGCAGTACAACTCTCGCCAACAGCAAATTGCCATCTGCCACAAACTTGTACCCACTGTTGCCCATGGGCTTGATGATGCTTCGTCCTGATGTGGCGCGGGACCTTTGCAAAGAAATGCTCATGCATCATGTAGAAGTTACATCCACCATCACTCCCAGTATTGCATGCAAGACTAGCAGCATTCCAGAGTAGCTGTTGCAGCAGAGCCCAACGATGCACACACCACCGCGCTTCAGCCGACGAACTTCATTCAGAGCAGCAGCGAAGCCACCATCGGTAGTCATATCAAGTGCAATAGGGTTCTGGAGCAGGTCCAAGGCGACTCCAACATTACCATCCTCGACAATCAACCGACTTGCATTCTAACTCTAACTACACTGGTCCTCCGTACATCAAATACGTGCAGGCAAAGCTCATCACGTAAAGCTCCTGTGACATGTCCCTGGCCAGCGAACAATTCGACAAAGTCGTTCACCTGCAGGAGGATTCATACCATTAATGGGTTCAGGGGCATTTAAGTTGGCAAATTCAGATCTAGAACAGCAATGCATCCAGCCCTAGGTCTTTGGTGTTTTCTTAAAGAGGCCTGCGTTTGTAAAGACTACTACACAGAAAACCCTCAGCCCGCCCTAGCCTCCTTCTGGTGAATGTCCGAATTGAAGGCCAGCAAAAGATTGGCCAAGCAGAGCCCCAAGGGGGCTCCCCATCGCAAAAGTTCCGCAACCACCATATCCCGAACTAAAAAACTAGGGCACAACACCTGAAACCTGTGTCGGCCACGACATGCCAGCATGCAAAACGAACACCACACATCAGCATGAACGGCTGCACTCACATCACCAGCAGGATTGCAAAACAAAGGGCCCACTTGATCGGTTTAATGCCGGGCAGACATGCGAAGTTGCACGTATGAAGCACACGTAGGCAACCAGTATTGGATGCAGGCCATATAAACAGGCACTGTACAGAAAATTAAGAAAGAGCTTGGTGTCATGGGACAGGCCACACTCATACATCCGACAATCGGTCGGACCACGATTGATCACAGAACCCAGCCATACCCTTGGGCCAGGGTCACCTAATTAGCTTTCCGAACACACACCATCAGTCGAACCTTCGGCGACTGAGCTCGCTGGGCGAAAGGTTGCTCAACAACTGCGCCCTCTCATCACTGAAGTTCCAAGCCTGAAGGGCTTCCCAATAATTCAGGTACCCCTCCTCCGTGCACTCCCGACAATAGGCTTTCTTCCTCTTCCGAAACTCGCCGGGCACATAATCGCAATCCCCATGCGGAGCATCAACCTCGATCCTCACTTTAGGTGGGGCAGCAGCATCCCGGACAGCCATGGCCTTCCTTTTAGCCATAGCCTTGGCTGTTGCCTTAGGCTCAGCATCCTGAATCGGCTCGCAATCCTCCTGCTCCACATCTTCATGATCGCTCTCGTACTCCCCCTTCCACCTTGAGTATGTTGAGTTCACAGCCCGAAGTGTATACGACGATCGGAATACCCGAAACACCAAACCAAAGACTAAAGTCTCACTATGTAAAGTAATTCGAGCTTCGGGTCTGTTGGTCTAAAGCCCTGTTCTGTCCGGTTTGCAAATCCAAGCGGCTGGGAACTCGGCAGGAATGGCTCGGGGGCCAAGCTCTTGGACATGTCCTGGATGCTGCTCAGCACCTTGGATGTTGTGTGCGGTTGGGGGGAAGCCAGGTTCCGGGTCTATGGTTGAGATCGCCATGCGGTCGTAATGGAGCAAGTAGCATGTCAACTATATAGGCAATATAGGCATAACAGCAGTTATAAATAGAGGCAGTCCTTGCATGACAGAGCACCGCTGGTGGGACCACAAAGGTGTTGCGCATCTGGTCCGGGGTCTTCTTCAAGCTTTGCTGCTTCAGCCGTAAGAAGATAGCATTAAGCTTCTCAACCTTTGCAGCCCCTACAGCACCATCATTCGAACTCACTGCAGTGGAAACTTCCGAAATAGCCCCATCATCTACAGCCATCGTCTTGGATGCCACTGAGGAGGGCGAGGCCACGGAGAGCTTGCGGTACTTCATCACGAGGCTCCTGGGCTCTAGAGCTTGCCGATATTTTTTGATGTTTGAGTAGCGATACGTATTTCAATGCTAACAAGCCTCTCCACACGAGAGCTTGCAGAGCTGGCAGCCGACATGGTAACTGTGGAGCTCGGGGATGGGACAGCCTTGCTTGACATAGGCGTGTCGGGGTATCATATATGTCTAAGTAATTATGCTCATAATACATGCTTCAAGGGGACTGATGTCACATCAGATTCGCACAGACCCAAAGCCTGGAGGGAATCGAATTCCCCATCGGACGCCTCATCCGTAGCATCCTCATCATCACCACTTTCTTCAGCTCCAGACGAGTCTGCATCCTGCATTAGGAAAGGTATCCTCAAAGCCAGCAGTACTGCAATATTTAATTGCATGACAACATATATGTTCTTACATCCCAAACCTGCTTGGGAAGGTAGTCAGCCAGCTCGCCCTTGAGTTCCGATAGTGCCCTGTTTCGGGAGCCTTTCGCACGCTGCGTGAGGCGCTTGAACTTCGTCGCCTGGGCTGCTGTGTGAGACATAAGCCATGCAAGAACATAACCAACTAGCCCGGTATAACCCCAGAGATCCCAAACCCTATATCGATAGACCTGGATTCAAACAAGCTAATAGTATATACAGTACTCTGTGCAATCCAGCTTCCAATTTCCTCATGGCATTACCATTCTTCAATGCCCAATCTTGCACAGATGGGGCATTCACACTTATTCCCCGTGGGGTAAGCTTCTTGTTGTAGTACCACAAGCGCACACCATCTGCAATCAGATGCGCGCTGTACCGCTTGCGGCCTTTGCGGCTGCCACGAAGAACTGCAGCAATTGCCTGCTACACAAAAGTTCTGACGATGGACAAGAGCATTAGGGATGTTTGCAGGATTTTGGTTTATTTAAAGCACTTTAACTTCAGGTTGGTGGATCACAGCAGGGTATGGGATCATAGGCAAGGCAGGTGTTTTCTGTTAGACATATCAGTCAGGATTGTGAAAGTTCAACTGTTCTGAAAACAGACCCTATTTGTTCATTTCGGCTTGCTTTAGTACCATTAGCAGCATGGTAAGTTTTCTGCACCCTGCAGGGGTCATCTGGTGCCAGGTCAAAGAACTATGGGGCTGTATTAGTGGAGCGATCTACCAGCAAACATATTGAGATCTTTGCTGGTTGTATTTACAGCTAGATACTTTTCTCTGATGTGTCTATATACAGATTAATATGATGTCTTAAGAACCCGCAAAGCTAAAGGAAAAGTAGCTCCCAATGCCCTAGCTGACCCACAACCCATCCAATCGTAAGCCCTCACCCCTGTGCAGTCACTGCGAGGGGAGATTATGTACCCAACGGATATAGATTAGCCAAGTCGCGATGGAAAAGTACATATACTGAATGATTCAACGAACCTTTTGCTACTTTCGTTCGAAGACCAATCTTCCTACTGAATGTGTCCATCAAACCTCTTATCATCCAGCCCAAGGCCCCCATATACCCTTAATCCAAGGAACCCACCCCGATAAGACAACTTTTCCCACGACTGTCTGAAAGCATTAAAACACCCCAGAAACCCCTTCATGACAAAGCGCCGCAGACCTGCACAGAGGTTGGTTTGTCAGAAGGCCCCACTTGTGTGTTTCAGGATTTCGCTTGTAGGCTTCTATACGTGTATATATGTATGTGAATATCTTTCGATTGTATATACTATATCAATAAGCATATGTGAACATATTATATGTGCATATATATATATGCTTATTATATCGGTATATATGTATATATGTATATGTCTGCATGTCTCTATATATTGGTTGCGTATTACCTAAGGTCGTACTGCCTGGGGACTTGGGCATCTTTCTATAGGGTCTTAGACCTTACAAGCTGAAGCCAAATAGTATATGGTAGTTAACGATCCTTTTACCTTTAGCTCTCTCTCTCTCTCTCTATATATATATATATGTATGTATATATACAAATATAATACACATCTCTGCTAGGCATTTCTCTCTCATGGTAAACATACGGTTCTACATTCCCATGACCATAAGACACTCTCTCTCTCTCTCTCTCTCTCCGACCAGCTTTGAAAGATAACATCTCCCAATTCAATCAAGCCAAAGTTCCCCAAGTGTAGAAATCTTCCACAAATTGCCAACCACCCCAGCAATCCCCTCACCCTCTGAGATTTGCTCCCTTCGTCCCTCACCCTGTCTCTCCCCCTGTTTCTGAAATATCGACCCTATATAACGAAATTTGAAAGCAAGCTGCCCTGGGGTTGAGCTCCACATCTTTGCGGGAAACCTGCCGCTTCTCCTTGAGCAGCTGCCCGGTTCGATCCACCAAGAGGTTGAAGCCGACCTAGGCCAGCCCAGCCACACTCTATGAATTCCCCATAAAGTGCGCCATGCATACATGGCAAGCAGCACAGACACCGAGATGCAAACATCAGACTCTGCATGTGCACAGATATATACACACATACCAACATACCGTAACATACCCATGAACTCCGAAAGATGCAGACAGCTTCACTGTGCAATAAAGCGGCGCCCTGTAGGGAATCTTCCTTCTCAAACTCCTTTGCCAGCTGTTCCGCCTCCTCGGAAACTGCTGGCCGGTTCGAGTCCTTCTCGGTCGATTCCTTCTTCATGCTGCAGATGCAGGCACAGCACAGCAGACCACAAAGCTGTGCACTCGAAAAGTTGCTTGCTCGACCCAAAAGGATGTGCAGCACATATGGTGTCCCACTGGCCACTTTAAGTGCATGCACAGCAAAGAATTTCGATGCATGTCTTCTACAAAATCCCTCCGATTCTGCAAACACGAGTGCAGCTGCACATGCTCAATATACAGCCGGAGGCAGGTAGGCACAAGGGGCGCACCTGATCCTCGAGATTTGAAGACATTCTTGAGCTTGCCCTTGTAGTCAGCCTGCATCAATATACCATTCAGTGCTGCTTGATCTCTTGGAAGATTTCACTTGCAGATCTTATGTTTGCACAGAAATCCCTTTCAATGGATTTGGGAGGGATCACATGCACAACACATCCTGCATGCAGTACGTAAATTACACACATGCACCTGTCCTATATGAGCAGGCCTGAGGCATCGGATACCAAAGACAGGACAGCGCACATGGCTCGCTTCATGATGCATGTGCGACTCCCCTTGTAAAGGCTGAGGGCCTGAGAAGTCCATGCCGAGTATCGCATGAAGCGATGTATCACTGTTCCGGAAACCGAACCCCAAATACCGATAAACTCTATCCATGACGTGACCAGACTGTCGTTCAGATGCTCATAGTACGGTATACACTAATCTAGATATCAAGCCCTACGGACTGAATTTGCATCTGGTACACGTTGCATGAGCTACCAGAACCTGCACAAATTGCCTGCGAGGCCGGCTTCAAGATATTATCGCGACATTTGATTGCACACACATGTCACACACCTCTCCCAGACGACTTGCTTATAAGCGACGGTCTTCTTGCACATAGACAAACGATTTGAGCTTCAATGCCGCATGCATGAGCAGATTTATGCTGCTGCATCACTCCAAGACATGTCTGAAGCTGGGCATGGCCCGGCAACTCCAGGAATGTTTCAAGCTCACCCTGTGTATTGTCGTGTGTAATCTACTAAAAACCCATTCCACCGACGACAATCCTGTTGTCAGGCATCTGGAATCTTGCAGTCATCATGAGCATCTCTGGCACAAACACATCGATATCATGCCAAAACTCGATTTGTGGTGCCCACACCCATATAGCAGAACCCACCATATGCCAGAAAACCAAAAGATCAGCATTTTCAAGGTCATTTGTAATGATCCACTTCTTCGGGGCTTTTCAATTCGATGCATAGCCCTCTTCTTTCAAGGCCATTTAGTCTCCAAGGAACGTCCGCCCTAGGCGTGCTGCGCACAACTTGTGCCGCAGGCTACACAAAGCAACCTACGACTAGCTGCCGTGCTCACTTGAGCCAAAAATGTTATGAACACGAATTAAAGAAGCATGCATAAAAGCACACAGCTTCACGGCCAGGCCGCAGACTATGTACAGTTACATTCGCCCCTCAGCCGAGAGCACGGGCATGCCTTTGGCGTAGCGGGTGGCCGGAGGCCATGAAACCTACCAGACTACCCTACCAAACTAGCACGCAAACGCTCTAGGCACTTTTTCTCGGCACTGCTGGCACGAGGCTCCTTTTATTATACTGTACACAGTCCGCACCGCACGGCGGTCACGGGCTGGTGAAACCGGCAGCTGAAGCGACGGCGTAACTCCACGCGCTTCGGGAGCACAACCGTGCCTCCCTAGCCGCTCACGTCTGGAACCTGTAGAGCGGATACGCCGCCCTGTCGTCCCATCGGAAAGCAGCTAGGCGCTGCACGCAAAACTGAAAACTGCCACAGGTGGCTGGGAAGCGGAACGCAGTCCGCGACTTCCAGTCCACGGTCACTGTGGCTCCAGATCGTTTAGCACAGCCGGTGGTTGGGCATTCGAAGCCTTAGCCCTGCCACGAGGCTGGCGCTGCGGTGCCTCAAACTCGTCAAGCTTAAGGGCCTTGCTCCACTCGACTCCAAAGGAGTCCAGCCATTTCTGACTGAACTCCGAAGCCCAGGACGCTCGCAAGAGCAACCCCGACTTCGGCGTTGGCTCTGGAGCTCGCGCTGAAGTTCAAGCTCCCGACCACAGCGCTCACAGTGGAGTCCGGCCTCGACACGAGCACCGACTTAGCATGGTGGATCCCTGCAAGGCCACCTCCAATGCTCACGTCGGTCCGGTTCTCGGCAGCATACGCGGCCTTGACCGACGAGCCCTTGCCAACTCGAACTTGGGCTCCTGCGGACGCCAACTCCCAAGGAGATGGGCTCGCGCGCCTCGCTCCAGCGAGGACACGAGCCCCCCCACAAGGGGTTTGCTGTCAAGGCTGTAGGCTCGCACATAAATGTGCTCACCCTGCCCCGCGCTTGCCAGCATCATCTGCACCACGCTGTGGTATTCTGGGAGAGTCAGGAATTTGACTCCAGCCCGTTCGAATCCATCCGGCAGAGCAAAGTCCCGGACGCGTCGCGCGTGAGCCGACAAGGGAGGCGCCGGTGCCGCCGGCACTGCAGTCGCAGCCCGAGCCGTCTCGGCGGCAGGCGCCTTCGGCATGGTCTCCGTTGGGGGCGCCGACGCTGTGGCCACCCCTTGGTGGCCGCTGAGCTTCGAAAAGCCGTCTTGGAGACCATCCCTGCCAAGCATCCCTGCTCCAATGCCGGAGCACCAAGGATGGCGCGCGCGCGCGTCGGGTCGCGGCGGGTGCGGAAGCTGACACTGGGGCAGAGCTCGTGCCAGTCATGGCCACGAGTTGCCCCGAAGCCTCAACGGCACGCTCGATATGCCCGCAGCGCCCTTCATTTAGGAACGCTCGGCAATCGCACCCAGCGCCTTCTGCACCCGGTGGGCACCAGGCTTGGTCTTAGAGGCGACCTCGAAAACCGCTACTCGGCCTTCTAGGGACACCAGAACAGCACTTGACAAAGGGTTGCCGTTCATGGCGTGCATCAGCCTGTTCGTGGCGACTCGTCCGGCCCACCGCAGCACGACGGCCGCGACGGTCGACAACAGGACCACAGCGGCTAAGCCCACGACACGAACTCCCCTGACGAGGATCCCGGAAGATTCCTCGATAAGGTCTTCTGCCGCGCTAGCGACTGCTGTGAGGCTGACCTGCGCCACTTCCCGGGCGCCGCGTTCCACAGTGAAGAAGGTAGGCGCCAGCGCTGCGGCCGCCAAACCCATCTTCCAGCCGATGTTGCCGGTGGTAGCATGGGCTGCGCGATTGCGAGCTCTCCTCGAGAGGGCCTAGCTAGCCACAGCGGCGCCGACGGAACGCACGGCTCCCAGGAACCAACCCTGGCTGGAGGCTCTTTTTGCTGCTGCATTTAAAACACAGCTTCCTCCACAGCATGTTACGTTCCTGGCACGACGTGCGGCCGCACGTCCAGTACGCATTGCTCATGGCGGCTGCAATCGCATCGGAGCGTTTCGTGTAAAGGTATTCCTTTACCTGCTCCTTGTGCTCCTCCAACCACTGCTCGACAAACCACCCCGGCGCCGTCCTAAGGTCCACCGGGGTGGTTGAATAGAGACTGCCTTCGAAGATCCCCTGGCAAGGGGCACCTCCGAGCTCATCGGAGTCGTGGTGGCGGCAGGTGTTCCTTTCGGGCGGATTGGCACGGCCGCAGTTGAAACAATCCCACCAGCCCCACGGCCACACCTTGCCGGTGAGCAGCGGAAGGCGCTCTGGCGTTGGCCCCAGCTCGTGCTCGTCATAGTCCGGCCAAATTGCAAAGACCGGTCTGTTTGACAAGATAGCCGCTTGGTAAACAAAGGCGCGCCGGCGGCGGCGCGCCAGAGCCAGAAGCTGCTCCAGGGTGTGGTCTCCACCACCCTGGAAGAAGTCCCTGATCTGCTCGTCGTGCTGCAGATCCAGTGGGATCAAGAGCCGTTTGTCGACATCGCGCGCGCTGGGCCTTCCAGGCCCCGGCGGCGGAACAGCATCCCAGTCGACATCCCTCCAGTCTGCCCCCGGCACCTCGTTGGAGAGCCCGTATAGACTCCAGAGACCCGGTGCTGAGGGGCAGGCGTTTCCATGGTGTCCTCCCATGTAGTGAAACGCTTTTTCGGAGGGGGCGGCCCTTCTGGTTCCGACGGCGGCCTCTTGTCAGCACCTGACGAAGACGAGGCAGCACCGCTTACACCTCCCGCGGGCCCAGCCGCACCGGACCAAGAGGACGCCGCGCCAGTCTCGGCCGCGGCTCCTGCTGTTCGTCGTGGCACGTTTGGCTGCCGGGCCCTGCGGAGGGTTTGCTCGTTGCGGCGGTCTCTTGTCCAGACGGTACGTCCGCCACAGCCCATCGGCAGTTACGCAAGGCGCCCCATCCGGGAGCCGCCTGCAACTCTGCCCCGATACGGTCGCAAAATCGCTCGGGGTTCGAGATGTGCGTGAACCTGCCGAGGTCTGCTTCGAACAGAATGATCCGCCCTGGGGACGGGACTAGCCCGCGCGAAGCGCGCGAAGACGCGCGAAGCGCGCGCGCGAAGCGCGGGTGCGCGAAGCCGCGCGAAGCCGGCAAGAGGCGCGCGAAGCCGCGCGAAGCACGCGCGAAGCCACGCGAAGCGCGGGCGCGCGAAGCCGCGCGAAGCCGGCGCGAGGCGCGCGAAGCGCGCGCGAAGTGCGGGCGCGCGAAGCACGCGCGAAGCCGCGCGAAGCGCGCGAAGCCGTGCGAAGCCGCGCGAAGCGGCGCGAAGCCGGGCGCCCGCACACGCACGAAGCCTCGCGAAGCAGCCTGCGCGAAGCCGCGCGAAGCCACGCGAAGCGCGCGAAGCCGCCTAAAGCCGCGCGAAACCGAGCGCGCGCAGGGGCACGCGCGAAGCCATGCGAAGCAGCCCGCGCGAAGCCGCGCGCGCAGGTTGTGCGCACGCAGAGTGCGCGCAGGTGCACGCACGAAGCCACGCGAAGCAGCCCGCGCGCGAAGCTGCGTGAAGCCGTGCGAAGCCGCGCGCGAAGGTGCGCGCACGCAGGTGCGCAAAGCCGGCGTCTGGTGCGCGAAGCCGCACGAAACATACCCAGATGATCCCCTCAAGTGGGGAGGGGACTTCAGACCCCGGTCTGCAGACCAAATAGGCCGAAGGTCTGAAGTGGGTCTGGGACCAATCCAGACCCCGGCAGGGTCAATCCAGACCCCCCGAAAAAAAACGCAGTAACTTTGCATACAAAACATTCAGACGAAATGACGCACCGCCCGACATCACGTGGCGGCGGGGGGTGGGGGGTGGGGGTGTTGCAGAACAGCATTGCTTGACGGGCCTGGCCAAGTCCTCGTCAGCAACCGGGTGGCAGATCGGGGGCGATGTCAAGATCTGTTCCATCCAGAAACCTCAAACGCAACGACCCCAAACCCAGAAACCCTGAGGCCAGAAACCCCAAACCCATAAATCCTAAACCCGGCAACCCAAGACCAGAAACCGGAACCCCAGAATCCTAAACCCAGCAACCCCAAACCCGGAAAACCCTCAAACCAGAAACCGTGAAGCCAAGAAACCCAAACCCAGAAATCCTTAACCCAGACACCCCGAAACAAGAAACCCTGAAGCCCAAGAACCCCAAGCCCAGAACCCGAACCCAGAAACCCCAAAACAAGAAACTGTGAAGCCAAGAACCCCCAACCCAGAAAACCCCAAACCCAGCAACCCCAAACCCAGAAACCCTGAAGCCAGAAACCCCGAAACACCAAAACCAGAAACCGTGAAACCCAGAATCCTAAACCCAGCAACCCCAAAATTCAGGGACATTAAACCCTGAAGCCAGAAACCACAAACCCAAAAATACCAAAGCCATAAGCCCCCCAGCCAAGAAACCCTGAAGCCAGAAACCCCAAACCCAGAAACCCCAAACCAAGAAACCCTGAAGCCAGCAAACCACCACCCAGAAACTGCGCACAAACAAAGCTCGACGAGCATATCGGCCACAGTCATGGACGGGGGGAACGGGTCGCCCGGCCACCAAACCGGTCCCAAGGAGCGACATGCTGAAGGTGTAGCAATGTAGCAAGTCCAACGGAACTATATATTTCATTGGACTTAAGCATCAGAACCCCGAAGCCCAGAACCCACAAGCCCGAAAGCCCTGAAACCAGAAATCCTCAAACCGGAAACATCAACAAACCCTTTTTTGCAGAAGCCCTAAACCCAGAAACCCCAGAAATCACAAACCCAGAAGCCCTAAACCCTCAGCTTCGAAACGTCCAGAAACGCTAAACACAGAAGGTTGGAAGCCAGAACCCGTCAACCCAGAAACCCTAAAACGTTGAAGCTTGAAACCTGCATTAGAGCCAACAACATCCAGAAACCCTAAACCCTTGAACGCAGAAACCCTAAACCCGTAATCCCTTAGATCCTAAACCTAAGCAGAAGTCGTAACCATAAAGAGAAAACCACAATCCTAAACCCCAAACCCTCGTGTCGAAACCCCAGCCCCTGTGGAATATAGTTTCCAAATCCTACAGCGTAAACCGTCAATCCGAGACCGAATCGGGTCTGTGAAGCTGGGGCGGGGGCAGGGGGGGAACGGGTCGCGGCCCTTCTCGGCACGCTGTAGCGCCTGCGGTTAACGTCGTAAACTGTTTTGACTCACCCAAGTCCCAACAGTAGAAAAGAGCGAGGGGGGGAACGGGTCGCGTTCCGGCTGTTGCTGCTTCTACTGCTACACCTGCGGCTGCGGCTATGCGAGCTGCGCGGCTACGGCTACGGCAGCGGCAACTGTGACCACTGCTTCTGCTACGCCGACGGCTGCTGCTACTACTGCTGTTACGGCCACTGTTACTGCTGCTGCGCTAATGCTACGGCTAGTGCTACCCAGAGGCGCTACAAAACCCAGAAACATCCAGAAACGTTAAGCCCACATGCCTTGTACCCAGAACCCCTGAACCCAGAAACCCTAAACCCCTGAAGCCAGAAAGCCAGAAACATCCAGAAACCTTGAATAGAAACTCTAAGCCCAGAAGCCTTGTATTACCCAGAAACCCCAAGCCCTGGACCCAGAAATTCGAAACCCAGAAACCCTAAACAGAAACATCAACCCAGAAGCCCGAAAAACCCTGAAACCAGAAACCCAGAAACCCCAGAGACGGTGGCTCGAAATGAACTTGGCACCCACACTTCAGGAGTACCATACCTGATGGTGCACGTGCTCGACAGTCAGACGACCCAGATTAAGTGGGAAGCCAAAGAACGTTCAGGAAACGCATCTTTCATTTCTTGTGCCTGACAGCATGCGGAGCACATAGGGGGATGTCAGTAAATGAAGTTTACCTTTTTCGCCCCCCCCCCCTCCACAAGAAACATGGTGGATACCAAGGTGTCCTGGCCTGAGCACGGCACCGGTAACCCAAGCAGACGGTTCTTTTGGAGAAGAGTGTCTGTGGCCTTATTTTAACAAAAGAACGGCGTCCAAACGCCTGCGGAAACCCTCCTACCCGACGTCTCCATTAGGGGATGGGGCGAACGGGTTGGCGGGTGTTCCATGCTGTTGTTTCCGGAAGCCGCTATTCCACAAGCATCGCCAAGAATATCACCAGGATGCCCCCAACGGACCCCAAACTCAAAATATCATGCGTCAAGACAAACAGTTTGAGACAGCCGGAACAGAAACTCATCAGTGCCACTGACTTCCCGCATCGAGCCCGAAACCGACACGAGCAGTATGTGGATCCAGGGGTTGGAGATCTCTTGGGGTCTGAACTGTGTTTTGGCCGCGGGGTCTGGATTGCTCCGGCGTTTTGAATCACAGCACTCGGGCCTCTGCTATCCAGACCCAGCGAAAAGGTCTGGATTGACCGGTGCCGAGGCAGACCCCCCCCCACTTGACCCTATCCCAGATGCGCGCGCGAAGCATGCGCCAGGTCACGCGAAGCAGCTCTCGTGAAGCCGCGCGAAGCCGGCGCGAGCCGCGCAAAGCACGTGCGAAGCCACGCCAGCAGCCTGCATGCGCTTCGCTTCGGGCGAAGCCGCATGTGTATGTGCATGTGTGTCTGTGGTGATTTATATATGTATGTATTTATGCTTCTACTCATGCTCGCATGATTTCGCTTTACGATTTGTAGGCGCTTGAGGTTTTTCTGGAAGTGCAGAAAAACTGCTGATTTTGGATTTCCGGCATTACTTGAAAGATGTTTCACGTTTCACATGCCGCACGCTGTTTGAACCATGTTATGTTGCAAAGTCTTGGCTCAGAGTGGAGCTCAAGACTGAGAATTTTTGTTTTCGGGGCCTCTCTAGAGATTCCTTTGTGCATCTAGAAGGCTCCTGGTCCCTGGTAAACCGAGGTTTGCCCTTAGGGCGTGTGCAAGCCGGCCTATTGCGTGGCCGGCGGATGGACTTCGCAAGTGCGTCCGGCACTGGGTGATGTCGGGGCGCCGTAGTGCTAAAAGGGGTGCCCAGGGTGCCCCGGATCACGCATCTGCCTTTGATCTTCATCTCTTGAGTGCCCTTAGAGACACCCCAGCTACTCACTTCTCAGTCAGGCAGCCGTGGGATGCCAGCATTTGCTCTGATGCTTCCGCCAGGAAAAGGTTTATGCCGGGACTTCCGGCTCCGCAGAGACTGCTTCCGTCCGCAGTCCCCGAGAGGGAAGCATCTCATCCTGAGGTGGCGAGGATGCAGAGCAGATTCGATGCCGCGGGTGCCAAGTTCGCTAAAAGAACCAAACATGTTTCTTGGGACGCGAAGGAGACTGAGGAGAAGAATTTTGCTTTATTTAAGTGGCTTAAGATCATTGAGCGAGGGCCGTGGGACTTTGCTGTGTCTCGCGATTTCTTGAGGGCACGCTTGTTGGGGCTCGGTGCTGGTGATCTTCTTGAGAGTATTTCGAATGCTCTTGCTGCAAAGAGCACTGCGACCCTGCATACGAGAGCCGGTCCGATGATCAGATATTTGGCTTTCTGCGACCTGGAAGGTATTGAGCCCTTCCCAATCAGAGAGGAGGTCATGTATAAGTTCTTCTACGACATGCAGGCGCAGGTAGCAGCGACATTCTTCAAGTCTGTGCTTGCCTCGCTGGCTTTCGGCCGCTTCGTGTTGGGTCTTGACAGTGCGGTGCTGGCGCTGGATTCTTTGAGGGTGAAAGGGCTCGCCAGAAAGCTGTACTTGGGCATCAGGCGACTGCAGCAGAGGCCTCCACTTCGAGTCAAGGATGTTATCAGGCTTGAGCTGATTTGCACAGGCGATGTGCCTCGTTCGGCCCTCGATGTGGTAATGGCAGGCTTCATCCTCTTCATGGTTTTCTCTCGAGCCCGTCACTCTGATGCCCAACATGTTTGCTCGTTTGCTTTCGAGCTTGACTTCAGGGGAGATCTTCCTGCGGGTTTCATCAATGCGGAGGTTAAGAAGACCAAAACTAGCTTCACGGTGGAGCGGAAAACAAAATTTCTACCCATGCTGGCGCCGGCGCGGGGTCTCAGCGGCAAGTGCTGGGCATCAGGGTGGAAGGCGGCGCTCAAGAAGGAGGGCATCACGGCAGGGGAGGGGAAACCTCTCATGCCCTCACCCAAGAGTGGGGGAGGATGGAACGTGATCCCACAAACTGCTCAGGCTTCAGGGCAGTGGATGCGAGCTCTGCTCAATGATGGCACTGATGATCCCTACTTGCTCGGGCTGGGGACGCACTCGGCCAAAACCACACTTTTGTCGTGGCTAAACAAGAAGGGTGTTGCTCGAGATGTCACTGCATTGTTGGGATACCACGCAACAAAGGATGCTGGCATAGGTACTGAGATCATCTACGCCAGGGATGCCATGGCATATCCCTTAAGAGTCTTGCAGGAGCTCGTCGATGAGGTCCGTGATCGTTCTTTCAGGCCCGATGAGACCAGAGGCCTTATGACGGCCGCGGAAAGGGAGGCTGCAGGAGTTCGTGACGATGCAGGCGCAGATTGCTCATCGTCCTCCTCTGAGGATGAGGAATGCCCGCGCCATGATGAGGGTGCTGAGGGACGAGTTTTGGGCCCGTGGGCCGGTCGTGTAGATAGATCTAAGATTCCTGGTGAGGCGGTCATGGCTAGGAACGAGACCTCGCGAGTTTTGCACATTTCACGTGAGGAGCAGGCCACCGCTTTCATTTGTGGCCGAAAGATTACGGCTGCCTATGAGGTGTGCGATGCACACCCATCCGTTTTGTATCCAAGGTGCAAGCAGTGCTTCAGAAGCTTTCTGGAATCAGTTAATGCGTGAGGTGCTGCGGGCTGAGGACGTGGACAATCCAAAGCTTCGAGCGCATGTGCCTTGCAAGTCCATGATGACATGCTGTGGCGGTGCCCTGCAAGTTCAAGTGTGTATTGCGTCTAGCACCACCAGTCCTGTGCGTGCGTCTGGAGCCAGTTGTCTTGCAGAAGTTGCAGTCCTTTGGCACGCTGCATTTGGCACTTTAATGATGTCTTTGAACGTGCGCCCATGGGGCGGTTTGGCCGGAGTGGCAGTGCATGCGAGCCGGTTGGGCAACAGCTGTGCAAGAGATAGGGACTGTGTGAGCCATGGCTTCATACACGGAGTCGGAGCCGGTGTTCACCAACCGATGTGAGACCGTTGGCCTAGGCGGTGAGGCCCTGACCAAATTGAAGGCTGCCGGAATCAATACCCTTGCTAAGGTGGCATTCGTTTCGTCTTACGCGCCAGGCGCTCCGTCAGATTCCGAGCTCATTAAGGTCCTCAATGAAGCACTTGGGAAGGAGAGTGATGCAGGCCAGAAAGCATCCTGGCGCAGGCTATTCCATGAAGCTTATGCCGTGGCTACTCAAGAGCTTAAGACGATGGCCGAGTGGCCAGATGAGGCAGGGCCAAGGCGTCTGTCACACCCAGAGAGAGCGGAGAGGTACCGAATGATCAAGGCATCTGTTTCAGGGATCGATATCAAGGATCGGAACGAGCCGAGCGATGCATTGCTGGACTTGTGTGTGGGCATCTACGAAGGGAATCGCCTTCGCTATGTTTCTTGGGATCGTTGCACATCCAAGTCCCAGGAGCTCTCGAGTGAGGCGAAGCGTGACAGCATGCTCACTGTGGATTCCCAGGGGCGCTTGAAGGCTGAAGCTAAGAGCGATCACATTAAAGCTGACACGCGAAGCCGCGCGAAGCGCGCGCGAAGCGCGGGCGCGCGAAGCACGCGCGAAGCCACGCGAAGCGCGGGCGCGCGAAGCCGCGCGAAGCCGGCGCGAGGCGCGCGAAGCGCGCGCGAAGTGCGGGCGCGCGAAGCACGCGCGAAGCCGCGCGAAGCGCGCGAAGCCGTGCGAAGCCGCGCGAAGCGGCGCGAAGCCGGGCGCGCGCACACGCACGAAGCCTCGCGAAGCAGCCTGCGCGAAGCCGCGCGAAGCCACGCGAAGCGCGCGAAGCCGCCTAAAGCCGCGCGAAACCGAGCGCGGGCAGGGGCACGCGCGAAGCCATGCGAAGCAGCCCGCGCGAAGCCGCGCGCGCAGGTTGTGCGCACGCAGAGTGCGCGCAGGTGCACGCACGAAGCCACGCGAAGCAGCCCGCGCGCGAAGCTGCGTGAAGCCGTGCGAAGCCGCGCGCGAAGGTGCGCGCACGCAGGTGCGCAAAGCCGGCGTCTGGTGCGCGAAGCCGCACGAAACATACCCAGATGATCCCCTCAAGTGGGGAGGGGACTTCAGACCCCGGTCTGCAGACCAAATAGGCCGAAGGTCTGAAGTGGGTCTGGGACCAATCCAGACCCCGGCAGGGTCAATCCAGACCCCCCGAAAAAAAACGCAGTAACTTTGCATACAAAACATTCAGACGAAATGACGCACCGCCCGACATCGCGTGGCGGCGGGGGGTGGGGGGTGGGGGTGTTGCAGAACAGCATTGCTTGACGGGCCTGGCCAAGTCCTCGTCAGCAACCGGGTGGCAGATCGGGGGCGATGTCAAGATCTGTTCCATCCAGAAACCTCAAACGCAACGACCCCAAACCCAGAAACCCTGAGGCCAGAAACCCCAAACCCATAAATCCTAAACCCGGCAACCCAAGACCAGAAACCGGAACCCCAGAATCCTAAACCCAGCAACCCCAAACCCGGAAAACCCTCAAACCAGAAACCGTGAAGCCAAGAAACCCAAACCCAGAAATCCTTAACCCAGACACCCCGAAACAAGAAACCCTGAAGCCCAAGAACCCCAAGCCCAGAACCCGAACCCAGAAACCCCAAAACAAGAAACTGTGAAGCCAAGAACCCCCAACCCAGAAAACCCCAAACCCAGCAACCCCAAACCCAGAAACCCTGAAGCCAGAAACCCCGAAACACCAAAACCAGAAACCGTGAAACCCAGAATCCTAAACCCAGCAACCCCAAAATTCAGGGACATTAAACCCTGAAGCCAGAAACCACAAACCCAAAAATACCAAAGCCATAAGCCCCCCAGCCAAGAAACCCTGAAGCCAGAAACCCCAAACCCAGAAACCCCAAACCAAGAAACCCTGAAGCCAGCAAACCACCACCCAGAAACTGCGCACAAACAAAGCTCGACGAGCATATCGGCCACAGTCATGGACGGGGGGAACGGGTCGCCCGGCCACCAAACCGGTCCCAAGGAGCGACATGCTGAAGGTGTAGCAATGTAGCAAGTCCAACGGAACTATATATTTCATTGGACTTAAGCATCAGAACCCCGAAGCCCAGAACCCACAAGCCCGAAAGCCCTGAAACCAGAAATCCTCAAACCAGAAACATCAACAAACCCTTTTTTGCAGAAGCCCTAAACCCAGAAACCCCAGAAATCACAAACCCAGAAGCCCTAAACCCTCAGCTTCGAAACGTCCAGAAACGCTAAACACAGAAGGTTGGAAGCCAGAACCCGTCAACCCAGAAACCCTAAAACGTTGAAGCTTGAAACCTGCATTAGAGCCAACAACATCCAGAAACCCTAAACCCTTGAACGCAGAAACCCTAAACCCGTAATCCCTTAGATCCTAAACCTAAGCAGAAGTCGTAACCATAAAGAGAAAACCACAATCCTAAACCCCAAACCCTCGTGTCGAAACCCCAGCCCCTGTGGAATATAGTTTCCACATCCTACAGCGTAAACCGTCAATCCGAGACCGAATCGGGTCTGTGAAGCTGGGGCGGGGGCAGGGGGGGAACGGGTCGCGGCCCTTCTCGGCACGCTGTAGCGCCTGCGGTTAACGTCGTAAACTGTTTTGACTCACCCAAGTCCCAACAGTAGAAAAGAGCGAGGGGGGAACGGGTCGCGTTCCGGCTGTTGCTGCTTCTACTGCTACACCTGCGGCTGCGGCTATGCGAGCTGCGCGGCTACGGCTACGGCAGCGGCAACTGTGACCACTGCTTCTGCTACGCCGACGGCTGCTGCTACTACTGCTGTTACGGCCACTGTTACTGCTGCTGCGCTAATGCTACGGCTAGTGCTACCCAGAGGCGCTACAAAACCCAGAAACATCCAGAAACGTTAAGCCCACATGCCTTGTACCCAGAACCCCTGAACCCAGAAACCCTAAACCCCTGAAGCCAGAAAGCCAGAAACATCCAGAAACCTTGAATAGAAACTCTAAGCCCAGAAGCCTTGTATTACCCAGAAACCCCAAGCCCTGGACCCAGAAATTCGAAACCCAGAAACCCTAAACAGAAACATCAACCCAGAAGCCCGAAAAACCCTGAAACCAGAAACCCAGAAACCCCAGAGACGGTGGCTCGAAATGAACTTGGCACCCACACTTCAGGAGTACCATACCTGATGGTGCACGTGCTCGACAGTCAGACGACCCAGATTAAGTGGGAAGCCAAAGAACGTTCAGGAAACGCATAAATTCATTTCTTGTGCCTGACAGCATGCGGCGCACATAGGGGGATGTCAGTAAATGAAGTTTACCTTTTTCGCCCCCCCCCCTCCACAAGAAACATGGTGGATACCAAGGTGTCCTGGCCTGAGCACGGCACCGGTAACCCAAGCAGACGGTTCTTTTGGAGAAGAGTGTCTGTGGCCTTATTTTAACAAAAGAACGGCGTCCAAACGCCTGCGGAAACCCTCCTACCCGACGTCTCCATTAGGGGATGGGGCGAACGGGTTGGCGGGTGTTCAATGCTGTTGTTTCCGGAAGCCGCTATTCCACAAGCATCGCCAAGAATATCACCAGGATGCCCCCAACGGACCCCAAACTCAAAATATCATGCGTCAAGACAGACAGTTTGAGACAGCCGGAACAGAAACTCATCAGTGCCACTGACTTCCCGCATCGAGCCCGAAACCGACACGAGCAGTATGTGGATCCAGGGGTTGGAGATCTCTTGGGGTCTGAACTGTGTTTTGGCCGCGGGGTCTGGATTGCTCCGGCGTTTTGAATCACAGCACTCGGGCCTCTGCTATCCAGACCCAGCGAAAAGGTCTGGATTGACCGGTGCCGAGGCAGACCCCCCCCACTTGACCCTATCCCAGATGCGCGCGCGAAGCATGCGCCAGGTCACGCGAAGCAGCTCTCGTGAAGCCGCGCGAAGCCGGCGCGAGCCGCGCAAAGCACGTGCGAAGCCACGCCAGCAGCCTGCATGCGCTTCGCTTCGGGCGAAGCCGCATGTGTATGTGCATGTGTGTCTGTGGTGATTTATATATGTATGTATTTATGCTTCTACTCATGCTCGCATGATTTCGCTTTACGATTTGTAGGCGCTTGAGGTTTTTCTGGAAGTGCAGAAAAACTGCTGATTTTGGATTTCCGGCATTACTTGAAAGATGTTTCACGTTTCACATGCCGCACGCTGTTTGAACCATGTTATGTTGCAAAGTCTTGGCTCAGAGTGGAGCTCAAGACTGAGAATTTTTGTTTTCGGGGCCTCTCTAGAGATTCCTTTGTGCATCTAGAAGGCTCCTGGTCCCTGGTAAACCGAGGTTTGCCCTTAGGGCGTGTGCAAGCCGGCCTATTGCGTGGCCGGCGGATGGACTTCGCAAGTGCGTCCGGCACTGGGTGATGTCGGGGCGCCGTAGTGCTAAAAGGGGTGCCCAGGGTGCCCCGGATCACGCATCTGCCTTTGATCTTCATCTCTTGAGTGCCCTTAGAGACACCCCAGCTACTCACTTCTCAGTCAGGCAGCCGTGGGATGCCAGCATTTGCTCTGATGCTTCCGCCAGGAAAAGGTTTATGCCGGGACTTCCGGCTCCGCAGAGACTGCTTCCGTCCGCAGTCCCCGAGAGGGAAGCATCATCCTGAGGTGGCGAGGATGCAGAGCAGATTCGATGCCGCGGGTGCCAAGTTCGCTAAAAGAACCAAACATGTTTCTTGGGACGCGAAGGAGACTGAGGAGAAGAATTTTGCTTTATTTAAGTGGCTTAAGATCATTGAGCGAGGGCCGTGGGACTTTGCTGTGTCTCGCGATTTCTTGAGGGCACGCTTGTTGGGGCTCGGTGCTGGTGATCTTCTTGAGAGTATTTCGAATGCTCTTGCTGCAAAGAGCACTGCGACCCTGCATACGAGAGCCGGTCCGATGATCAGATATTTGGCTTTCTGCGACCTGGAAGGTATTGAGCCCTTCCCAATCAGAGAGGAGGTCATGTATAAGTTCTTCTACGACATGCAGGCGCAGGTAGCAGCGACATTCTTCAAGTCTGTGCTTGCCTCGCTGGCTTTCGGCCGCTTCGTGTTGGGTCTTGACAGTGCGGTGCTGGCGCTGGATTCTTTGAGGGTGAAAGGGCTCGCCAGAAAGCTGTACTTGGGCATCAGGCGACTGCAGCAGAGGCCTCCACTTCGAGTCAAGGATGTTATCAGGCTTGAGCTGATTTGCACAGGCGATGTGCCTCGTTCGGCCCTCGATGTGGTAATGGCAGGCTTCATCCTCTTCATGGTTTTCTCTCGAGCCCGTCACTCTGATGCCCAACATGTTTGCTCGTTGGCTTTCGAGCTTCACTTCAGGGGAGATCTTCCTGCGGGTTTCATCAATGCGGAGGTTAAGAAGACCAAAGCTAGCTTCACGGTGGAGCGGAAAACAAAATTTCTACCCATGCTGGCGCCGGCGCGGGGTCTCAGCGGCAAGTGCTGGGCATCAGGATGGAAGGCGGCGCTCAAGAAGGAGGGCATCACGGCAGGGGAGGGGAAACCTCTCATGCCCTCACCCAATAGTGGGGGAGGATGGAACGTGATCCCACAAACTGCTCAGGCTTCAGGGCAGTGGATGCGAGCTCTGCTCAATGATGGCACTGATGATCCCTACTTGCTCGGGCTGGGGACGCACTCGGCCAAAACCACACTTTTGTCGTGGCTAAACAAGAAGGGTGTTGCTCGAGATGTCACTGCATTGTTGGGATACCACGCAACAAAGGATGCTGGCATAGGTACTGAGATCATCTACGCCAGGGATGCCATGGCATATCCCTTAAGAGTCTTGCAGGAGCTCGTCGATGAGGTCCGTGATCGTTCTTTCAGGCCCGATGAGACCAGAGGCCTTATGACGGCCGCGGAAAGGGAGGCTGCAGGAGTTCGTGACGATGCAGGCGCAGATTGCTCATCGTCCTCCTCTGAGGATGAGGAATGCCCGCGCCATGATGAGGGTGCTGAGGGACGAGTTTTGGGCCCGTGGGCCGGTCGTGTAGATAGATCTAAGATTCCTGGTGAGGCGGTCATGGCTAGGAACGAGACCTCGCGAGTTTTGCACATTTCACGTGAGGAGCAGGCCACCGCTTTCATTTGTGGCCGAAAGATTACGGCTGCCTATGAGGTGTGCGATGCACACCCATCCGTTTTGTATCCAAGGTGCAAGCAGTGCTTCAGAAGCTTTCTGGAATCAGTTAATGCGTGAGGTGCTGCGGGCTGAGGACGTGGACAATCCAAAGCTTCGAGCGCATGTGCCTTGCAAGTCCATGATGACATGCTGTGGCGGTGCCCTGCAAGTTCAAGTGTGTATTGCGTCTAGCACCACCAGTCCTGTGCGTGCGTCTGGAGCCAGTTGTCTTGCAGAAGTTGCAGTCCTTTGGCACGCTGCATTTGGCACTTTAATGATGTCTTTGAACGTGCGCCCATGCGGCGGTTTGGCCGGAGTGGCAGTGCATGCGAGCCGGTTGGGCAACAGCTGTGCAAGAGATAGGGACTGTGTGAGCCATGGCTTCATACACGGAGTCGGAGCCGGTGTTCACCAACCGATGTGAGACCGTTGGCCTAGGCGGTGAGGCCCTGATCAAATTGAAGGCTGCCGGAATCAATACCCTTGCTAAGGTGGCATTCGTTTCGTCTTACGCGCCAGGCGCTGCGTCAGATTCCGAGCTCATTAAGGTCCTCAATGAAGCACTTGGGAAGGAGAGTGATGCAGGCCAGAAAGCATCCTGGCGCAGGCTATTCCATGAAGCTTATGCCGTGGCTACTCAAGAGCTTAAGACGATGGCCGAGCGGCCAGATGAGGCAGGGCCAAGGCGTCTGTCACAGCCAGAGAGAGCGGAGAGGTACCGAATGATCAAGGCATCTGTTTCAGGGATCGATATCAAGGATCGGAACGAGCCGAGCGATGCATTGCTGGACTTGTGTGTGGGCATCTACGAAGGGAATCGCCTTCGCTATGTTTCTTGGGATCGTTGCACATCCAAGTCCCAGGAGCTCTCGAGTGAGGCGAAGCGTGACAGCATGCTCACTGTGGATTCCCAGGGGCGCTTGAAGGCTGAAGCTAAGAGCGATCACATTAAAGCTGACACGAGTTCGGAGATTTTGTTGCAGTTCGCACTCTTGCGAAGAGGTCTTGCATTGGAAATGTCGAACTTGCTCGACTTTCGTTTGCATCGCAGGTGGGCCGAAAAATTGATAGAGACAAGGATGGCCGCCCAACTCGACACGCATTCGCAAGTGTCTTTCGCCCAATTGGAGGCGGCGGACCAGAAGTTCTTCCAGGAATTAGCGGACAGGACTCGCGATGGAGTCCAGGCCACCGCCCTCGGTCGCCCGTTGGACGACTGCTTCGACGAAGTTTTCAATTTGCCAGAGGTCACGCGTGTGATGCAGCCGCTGCCTAAGCCTAGCGGTCGTGTGGAGCCACCTCCGAAGCCGCGCTGGAGCCCGTATGATCGTCCCTCAAAGGGTGGTCGGAAAGGCAAGAGCCCAGGCACAGGTAAAAGCACGCCAAGGATGCCCAGGGAGCTTGTTGGCTGCAAGGCATGCACCAATCGGGGCGACCCAATCTGTTTTGGGTATGGCTTGAAAACTTGCTCTGAGCAAGTGAAGGGCGGTCGCTGCCCAAAGGGGCTGCACGTATGCGCCGTCCCGAAGTGCGGGGGCGCGCATCCAGCACTTGACTGCCCACAGTATGCGGCCCTGAAGAAGGCCGGGTCTTGACTCCAGGTGGGTCAAGATGAGATGGCGGCGATGCCATCAGTGAAGGGAAGTGGGCAGCTCGGAGTGGGCTCGCCCAAGCGAGCGCGGTCAAGGGACCGTGCTACCGCACAAGCTGTTGATTCGGCCGAGGGGTCGGATTCTGAATCCTCAATTTTCGCTGCTGAGCAAGTAGCTGCAGAGCCTATACTTTGTAAAGATCCTGAGCAATTTTCTGCTGCCGCATCACTTAAGAAGCCTTTAGATCTCAGAGATGTCGTGACCTTGTGTGATTTGCTGGAGAGTGAAATCCCGGCAAGAGGGAACAATTCTGATGACGAGTTCAGCTGGAGCACAGGGGCGTATGTGCATGGAGGTGTTCACGGATGCCGACAACATATGCATCAGTTCCCAGTGACCTCCGCATTCCTTGCGAAGGTCTTCAAGGAATACCACCCGAGGCTTCCAGTGACATCATTGTCTTTGACTCGCAATGTGCGAACAGCCTTGCATCTGGATGCAAACAATGCATTGTGCTATCTGAACGGCTTGATTAAGGTTTCGGGGTTTAGGGGAGGGGGTTTGTGGGTCCAGGACGCAAGCGGGGACACCGTGTGCCCCACCGATCCTTCTCTTCTGGGCTCACACCTCGACTTCAGAGACTCCACTCTTGCCTTTGATCCGCATAAGAAGCACCTTACATTGCCTTGGACGCAGGGCCCACGTATCGTTCTAATCGGTTTTGTGGTCAAAGCCACCGCTGAGATTCCAGATCAAGATGCCGAGATGCTGCTTCGAGCCGGTTTCAATTTGCCATGTCAAGATACAGCGACTTCTCTGTGTCAGCTTGGATCGCATAGTACCTTCTCTGGACTGTCTTCAAGATCCTTAGTCCCGAAGGCAAAGAGCTCCCGCGGAGCTCCTCTTGCGATCCAACTTTGCGCCGGGTCAGGCCTTCTGTCAGCTTCCGTCAAAGCTGCAAACATAGACACTTTGGCGGTTGATTTTCACGGGAATCGATCTAGGCCTTATGTGCATGTTGTCGGCCTCGATCTTACGTTGCCAGCCTCTTGGGAGTACTTGACGACCGTTCTTGAAACCAGACAAGTTGTTCATGTACATGTGACTCCCCCAGCTGGGACCACGCGACGATCGCGTGCAAAGCAGTCGCTTCGAAGTGCTTCCCACCCGTGGGGTGTGCCAGGTCAGGATTCGTCTGTGTTGGCTCGTCTCCAGTCGGCCAACCGCATCTTTATTCAGCTGGGAGCCTTTTTGCTTCGGGCTCGGGAACTTGGGGTGGCGTTCTCGCTTATGCACCCCATGTCCTCTTGGCTTTGGGAGCTGCCTCCCTTCGCCGACCTGCTCAAGGTCTCTTCTGAGGTACCAGTGTATCTGATGTCTGACTTGCACAGGCTCCAGCATTTTCGCTTAGTGTACACCTTGTGTGACCTGTCATCGCTTGCCGCGGCTGACAGAACCGATGCCATGACGCAGAAACTCTTCTGTGATCGTTTTGCTGCTGCCTTGTCCACTCAGGTTGCTGCCTCGGGTTTAGGCCCCTCCCCTCTTAGGCTCCCCGAGGTCCGTGCTGCGGCGCAAAACCAACCGAAGGCATCCAAGCTGCCACCGCTTGTGCCAGAGTTTGCCTACACGCAACGTTTGACGTGTGAAGGCCCTCCACCTTTGGATGCCAAGAAGCAGCTCACGCATCCGTGGAATGGCGTTCCCAAACATGCCCGCCTCCTGCGCTCTTCCACTTCCGAAGGGGGGGCGACTGAGGAATCCGCGCAGCAAGCGACCAACATCTCTTCGCAGAAGCCTCGCCATACTGAGTATGTGTTCGGTGTGTATCGCGAGCCGGTGCAATTTGTGTATCAGGCTGTCGCACTTCAGCATCCGTTTGATGCCGCCAGAGCTCTTCCGGATAAGCTTGTTCGTGTGCTCTTTGCCACGTTGACCAAAGGTCCCTTATGCATCATGCGAAACAGGTTACTCCTGCTGCAAAAGTGGAATCAGTGGGCAAAGGACCTTCGCTCAGATGAAGCCTCTCTCCAGGCCTCCCTGCATCCTTCGGTCCGCAAGGTTCTTCAGGGAAAGAAGCTGCTCCTTCTTGACAAGATTGCAAGATCACTTGACTGGCCCGACAAACACCTGCATCGTGACCTGTGTGCAGGGTTCAAGTTGTCAGGTGTTCCTGATCCTACAGGTGTTTTTGAGCCGGACCACAAGCCTGCCTTGTCTTCAGAGGAGCAATTCTGGGACGCTGCCGAAGTTTTGAAGCATCAGCTTTGGGCACGGGTGAGGGAGCAGCCGGCTCAGGAGTACGACGCGGAGCTGGCCGAAATCACACTGGGCGAAACCGATGTATCTGGAGGAAAAGGATGGCTCGAGGGTCCTTTGTCATTCTCTGAGCTCCAGGATCGCTTTAAAGGCCAGTGGATGCCGTGCCGAAGGTTCGCTGTATGGCAAAACAAGTGGAGGCCCATCGATGATCTTAGCGAGTCGGGGCTCAATGCAACATTTGGCTGCCATGAGAAGATTCCGCTTAGGGCTTTGGACGAGGTGGTCTGGATTTGCACAAAGATAATGCAGGCTGCCTCTGCTAGGGGCGATGTCACGTTGCAACTGAGCTCGGGCGAATCCTTGAAAGGCAAGCTGCATGAACATTGGGCCGACAAGGAGAAGATCAGACCTGTCACTACAGCATTTGATCTTAAATCCGCTTACAAACAGCTTCCTCTTGCACCGGAGGAGCAAAGTAAGGCGATAGTCACCATTCGACATCCGTCGCAGACCGAGCCGTCCGGCTACATATGCCACACTCTTCCTTTCGGAGCCTGTGGATCTGTTCTTCACTTCAACAGAGTCTCGGCTCTGCTGAGAAGGATTATGCTTGAGATGGAGATCTTGACGGCGCTCTACTATGACGACTATCCAGTAGTGTCGCCATGCCTCCTTGGCAACAGCACGGCTGCAGCCTTCACTTCAGTAATGCGCCTTTTGGGGTTTAGGATTGCTGATGATAAGGATAAGCCTTTTTCGACGCGCTCGGAAACTTTGGGAGTTGTCATAGACACGTCGGCTGAAGATATGTCGGGCGTGTCTGTGTGCAACAAACCTTCGAGGTCGCAGGCCATCGCCGTTGCCATTGAGGAGATTATCACCAGAGGGCACGTTGCACCTCGTGAGTTGCCTTCTTTGTTCGGCAGACTTCAGTTCGCCGAGGCACAGATCCTTGGCAGGATGGGCAGGTTGGCAATTCACGATCTCAGAAGCCTTGAGAGGTCTTCTGCTGCGCGCGTCAACCTCACAGCTCAGCATCTTGAAGCTTTGTTGCTCTTGAAGGAGCGCGTTGTGTCCGGAGCTCCGAGAAATGTGTCCGCTTCAGTTGCGACCAGTCCTATCGTGATCTTCACTGACGGCTGCTTCGAGCCGGATGCTGCGAACCCCGCTGGGGTGGGGGGTGTAATGTTCGCTCCTTCGTCTGGTGGAGGCTTGAAGGTAAGGGCCTTTGGCTCGCTTGTTCCAAAGACGCTGCTTGAAGCATGGCACGCCAGGGGCAAGCGACACCTCATAGGCCAGGTTGAGATGTTCGCTGTCATCATTGCCAGGTCGTGGTGGGCAAACGTCCTGGACGGTGCCAGGGTCATTTATTTCGTGGATCACAGCGGTGTGCTTGCCGCCTGCATAAGCGGATCCTCCAAAGAGGATACATGGAGAAAGCTTTTGTGCGCATTCGAGAAAGCTGATTCGCTGCCTGCCATGCAGTGGTTCAGCCGTGTTCCCTCACACTCGAATATCTCTGATGGACCGTCGAGAGGTCGCTGGGAGGGCCTTTTGAGAGCTTTCCCGGAGTGCGTGATTGATGATCCTTGTTGCCCTTTGACAGGGACAATGCTTCAGCGCTTCGTTTAGGAGCACTCTTGTCAAGCGGGGCGAGCGGAGTGCTCTCGAAGCGATGTGCTTCTTTCTTGTGGCGATGTGCCACGTGGTGCGTGCGGCATGCACTTGGAAACCCCGTTTGATGCTTTCGAGCGAAAAGGTCGTGAGTGTGCGTATGCCATAAAATATTGGATTGATTCTTTATTTGAGTCATTTATAGAACGTCCCTAAGAGGACGACTAGATATTCGACATTTGTAAATCCAAATCAGCTTGAGCCGCAAATCGTAAGCTTCTATACTCATGCTCGCATGATTTCGCTTTACGATTTGTAGGCGCTTGAGGTTTTTCTGGAAGTGCAGAAAAACTGCTGATTTTGGATTTCCGGCATTACTTGAAAGATGTTTCACGTTTCACATGCCGCACGCTGTTTGAACCATGTTATGTTGCAAAGTCTTGGCTCAGAGTGGAGCTCAAGACTGAGAATTTTTGTTTTCCCACCCACCCAACCCTGGGGGGCGAGCAGAGTGCTCTCGAAGCGATGTGCTTCTTTCTTGTGGCGATGTGCCACGTGGTGCGCGCGGCATGCACTTGGAAACCCCGTTTGATGCTTTCGAGCGAAAAGGTCGTGAGTGTGCGTATGCCATAAAATATTGGATTGATTCTTTATTTGAGTCATTTATAGAACGTCCCTAAGAGGACGACTAGATATTCGACATTTGTAAATCCAAATCAGCTTGAGCCGCAAATCGTAATATGTATGTATGAAATCCCCTCATCCGTTTAATAAAACGACGATCCATCGCTGGCCGCGAAGGTGCAAAACAAAACAAGCGAGCTCTGGATCTGCCTGCACAGGGAGTGAAGCTGACACGTGGGAGAGAGAGAAAGTGATCGAGACTGTAGAGGGCAACCACATCATTACCCAACATAGCTCGGTGGGGTGAGCGACAAGGAACATCATCAAGATCAAATCCCCACGCAAGTAGTAGTTGCAGTAGTTGTAGTAGTAGCAGCAGTAGCAGTAGTGGTAAGTATAGCACGACATCAAGGGAGCTGGTGCTCGCCTCTTCGAGCATATCAGTCATAGGGTCAATCGAGTCAGTTTCACACCAAGTGCGTGCACCGCGGCAATCGCCCGCAATGTGCTGAGCCCGGTCGCACAGCGTTCAATTGAAAATAGTAGTAGTAGTAGTAGTAGTAGTAGTAGTAGTAGTAGTAGCAGTAGTAGTAGCAGTAGTAGTAGTAATAGTAGTAATAGTAGTAATAGTAGTAATAGTAGTAGTAGTAGTAGTAGTAGTAGTAGTAGTAGTAGTAGTAGTAGTAGTAGTAGTAGTAGTAGTAGTAGTAGTAGTAGTAGTAGTAGTAGTAGTAGTAGTAGTAGTAGTAGTAGTAGTAGTAGTAGTAGTAGTAGTAGTAGTAGTAGTAGTAGTAGTAGTAGTAGTAGTAGTAGTAGTAGTAGTAGTAGTAGTAGTAGTAGTAGTAGTAGTAGTAGTAGTAGTAGTAGTAGTAGTAGTAGTAGTAGTAGTAGTAGTAGTAGTAGTAGTAGTAGTAGGGCCTGTAATCACTCACCTGGCATGTCTACATACCACAGACATGCGTCGGGCCGGGACGCAGCGCATGTCACCTTGCCGCCGGAGCTGCGCCGTCGAGTCGACGCTATCGCCGAACTCGTGCCTGCCGTTTTATCACAGCAGGGCAGCTACGTAGTCAACGGGCTCAGTTCATGTTGACCATACTAGCAGATCAATGTATAACACAGATGAGGAAATGCTGTGCCATCTGTGCCACAAGCAGGACCTCGCACGACACGAATCAGCATACACGCAGAGACAAAGCTCCAAGCTACAGCCAGCCAAAGCGCAAGCATTCTCTCAGTTGTAGGTCTGCCAGCCTTCGTCATGGTGAAGCGAGCCGCGAAATGCATGCTGTGCAGCAAAACGCGCGCTCTGCGCGAAGTCAAGAAGGAAAGCCTGCTGGAGGCTGCGAAGGCAGCTGCGAAGAAGCCACTTCCGAGGCGGTGGGGGTCGACCTCGTTTGCATCGGGTCTGCACGTTAATTACCTGTTAGCTTACGTTGGAGTCAGGACAACAGCTTCTTGCTGACAAGTTTGACTTTGCATTTTTGCTCTCTTGACAGGACTGTCAAGTTGTGCGAAACTTGTGCGACGAAGCTCTCCCACGCCTTCACGGCCAAGCGCAAGGCCATGGGTGACGGCGATGTTTGATCTTGCCTCCGTGTTCTACTGTGAAAGGCCGCGGCGAGGGAGGTCTCTGCAGAGGCCGCCTATCAGGACTCTTTGCAGGGTTTAGGGGTCTTGGTTCATGGGTTCTTGTTGGAGGAGGTGTCATGTCCTTGGCATAATTCTGTCGTTTCTCAGGATCATCCTGGAAGACAGTGACGGGGATGTTTGATCTTGGCTCCTTGTTCAGAGGGTTTTGGGGTTTTGGTTCATGGGTTCCTGCTGGTGGAGGTGTCATGTGGAGTCGGGGTTGGCTTACTGTGAAGGCAGAAGCGTCAACATGAAACGATGACGGTCTAATCGCAGTCGAAAACACATCAGCAGCAGCGCTTGTAACCTTACCACATTTACCATTTGCTTCGTCCATCCCGGGTTGGGCAGCCATACAGCGGTGACTTCTCATGTTGCAATCACGCAGATCTGCCCAACTCACTGCAGTTGATTCTACTGCTAAAAGCACCCCATCCAAGCGCAGCACATGGCTTACGTCGTGCATGAAGCGCTCCGGCTCTTCTTTTCCGCGCTCCAGCTCAGAGGAACTTGCCCAGCGTCGGGTCTTCGTGGAAGACAGTAACGCCGATGTTTGATCTTGCCCCCCTGTTCTACTGCGAAAGGTCGCGGCGATGGAGGTCTCGACAGAGGCCGCCCATCAGGACTCTTTGCAGGGTTTAGGGTCTTGGTTCATGGGTTCCTGCTGGAGGAGGTGTCATGTCCTTGGCATAATTCTGTCATTTCTCCGGATCATCGTGGAAGACAGTGACGGGGATGTTTGATCTTGGCTCCTTGTTCAGAAGGTTTTGGGGTCTTGGTTCATGGGTTCTGGTGGAGGAGGTGTCATGTGGAGTCGGGGTTGGCTTATTGTGAAGTGAAGGTAGAAGCGTCAACATGAAACGATGACGGTCTAATCGCAGTCGAAAACACATCAGCAGCAGCGATTGTAACTTTACCACATTTACCATTTGCTTCGTCCATCTCGGGTTGGGCAGACATGCAGCTGCGAGTTCTCATGTTGCAATCACGCAGACCTGCCCAACTAACTGCAGCTGATTCTACTGCTAAGAAAGGGCAGCGCATGGCCTACGTGGTGCATGAGGCGCTCTTGCTCTTCTTTTCCATGCTTCAGCTCAGAGGAACTTGCCCGGCGTCGGGAGGAGGTGCTCGCCAGCTTGGGCAGCTGGTGCCAAGCACTCAAGGCTGGGTTAAGGTAACGATAATTATAATTACACCCCAATTAAGGTACTTATAACCTTATACTTTATAAGTCCCATGATCCTCCTAGGGTTCTCAGGTTGTTCAAAATTTTTTTAGAGGTCAACAGCGCCATATGGATTTCGGAACTACTTCGAGTCGACTACAGACCAACGTGTGCTTGCAAGCCGGCCAGCCTCGGTAAACGCCCCAAGTTCGGAGTATGCAGCTTCACATGAAGAATACGTTCGTTGAAACAACTTTTCGCACATGGATGCATGCACGTGGGCTCTATATATATGCACGCACAAAGTCCCGCGCGAAACCCGCGCGAAGGGCGCGTGTGAAGCGCGCGAAGCGCGGGGCGTGCGAAGGGCGCGAAGCGTGCAAAAAGCCGCGCGAAAAGCCGCGCGAAGCCAACCGAAGGGCGCGAAGCGCGCGAAGCGGCGCGAAGCCGCGCGGAGGCGCGCGAGAGGCGCGTGAGATGCGCGAAGCGGCGCGAAGCGCGCGAAGCAGCGCGAAGCGCGCGAAACGCGCGAAGCGCGCGAAGGCGCGCGGAGGCGCGCGAGAGGCGCGAAGCGGCGCAAAGCGCGCGAAGGCGCGCAGAGGCGCGCGGAGCGGCGCGAAGCGCGCGAAGCCCGCGAAGGTGCGCGGAGGCGCGGGGAGGCGCGCGGAGCGCGCGAAGCCGCGCGAAGCGCGCGAAGGCGCGCGGAGGGGTGCCATCAGAGGCGCGCGAGAGGCGCGAAGCGGGCGCGGAGGGGCGCCAGAGGCGCGCGAGAGGCGCGAAGCGGCGCGAAGCGCGCGAAGCGCGCGAAGCCGCGCGAAGCGCGCGAAGGCGTGCGGAGGGGTGCCACAGGCGCCAGAGGCGCGCGAGAGGCGCGAAGCGGCGCGAAGCGCGCGAAGCCGCGCGAAGCGCGCGAAGCGCGCGAAGCCACGCGAAGCGCGCGATCAGGCGCCAGAGGCGCGCGAGAGGCGCGAAGCGCGCGAAGCGCGCGAAGGCGCGCGGAGGCGCGCGGAGGCGCGCGGATGCGCGAAGCGCGCGAGGCCGCGCGAAGCGCGCGAAGCCACGCGAAGCGCGCGAAGGCGCGCGAAACGCGCGAAGCGCGCGAAGCGCGTAGGGCGGTCCCGGTGGTCCCTGCGCTTCCCCGTGTTTTGAAGCGGCGCAAGGCCACTGCAGCCTCCCCGAAGTAAGCCTCCTCGCAAGGAGGCGGGACCATTTCCCGAGGAAGGGCTCTTCCGTGGACAGCAGTTCTGTGGTACTCGGCACGACAGCCGCGGATACCACACCTGTGGCCGCTGCCACGAGCTTCTAGGCCCCGAGATCCACGAAATCCCCCGGAGGCGCTTCCTCGTCAGGGATCGGATCCACACTCAAGGGAACGAACACGTGGCGTGCAGGGGACTTCGGGGCGGGGCGCTGGAGCGCCTGTCGACTTCCGCCATGAAGTGAGGATAGCCGCCGTCTTGGCCCTATCCTCCTCCGTCTCGTCGCCTCCATCTGCGCCGCCAACTCTTGAGCCCTGGGCCTCCCTTGGAGGCCGCCTTCGCCGGAGGGCTTCAGAGTTTGGAACGGAGCCCTTGGGGGCCGCCTTGAACGGAGGAAC